GATGGTTTAAAATGCATTGAAAAGGTCAAGTATCTCGAAACGCGGATGCGTCATGATTTGAATAATCGACAGGAATCGTCACGTTTCGAGATATTTTTTTCTTTGCTTCTGCGCAACCAAAACGATCTTTTTTTTCGATCGGATTGTCACGTGCGATGAAAAGTGGATCATCTACATCTACGACAACAGAAGTCGTTCAGGAGTGGTTGAACACCAATGAGCTGCCAAGGCACTTACCAAAGACAAAAACACGTGAAAAAATAGATCACAGTAACTGTACGTTTGAAGGTGGTTGACACTGTTTTGTGGTATATTCCATCAGTTCGGACTTCCATTGTCCGCAAGCAACCGAGCAAGACCTAAATACTCCTACAGATATCTTTATTTGTAAACTGCGATCAATACTAGCACAGCTTCCTTCTGGAACTCTTACAGAAGAGGTTCTATTGGATATGGTTTCTGGATTATTGAATCATAGAATTAGAGAGAAAGTTCCACGTGATGAAGTGAAAACTTTTAGTGAACTTTTGACAAACTCAAGGTTGATTGAAGGAACTTTCGACCATAGTGACAAGGTCGTGACGAAAGACACTGAAGATACTCAAAGACGCATACGCTGCCAATACTGTAAAAACATAGGCCACACAAAAGACGAATGTAGGAAACTTTCAAACAGAAATTCTCAGGACCACGGAACACCGTAAACATCTGCACGTGAGCAGAATAATATCCGTGATTCGAACACCACTCAAAGTTCATCCAATCCAACATCAGATAGTACTTCTCGGAGTAATATAAGTTTCCCATTATCGTGCTATGGATGCGGTATGATGGGATTCATTCGTACTAATTGCCCTTCATGTAATAATATTGAAACGTCTTCAATGGAATTTTTCAGCATCGACACGTTCATTGCTCCTCATTCAAGACCAATTATTCATGTAGAAATTTTAGGACATCATTGTCAAGGTCTCATAGACACAGCGGCAAAACAGAGTGTTGCTGGTAAGGCCTTATATGATATTTTGAAACGCGAAGCCCAAACATTTTCTGAAGAAAATATTTTGTTGAAGTTTGCTGATAGTCAAGGTAAAATAGAGAATGTTCTTGTAACCTGTGTTGACTTGAAGGTCAAAGGCAAGACTATACCTACCAAATTCATCATCGCAACAAGCGGCTTGCGAGTTGTGAAAAGTCATTATCGAATTGCCTCATAGGAAGGCGGATGAGATAAGAAACGAACAATTGAAAGATCCTGAATTTACCAAATGGACAGATCGAGGTAATATCCTGTCCCAGGGGGTACTATATCACCACTCCCCAGAAGAAGATGAAGAAGAAGCATGAAACAGTCAGAATTCTAAGTGAATATCATGACGCACCAGAAGCCGCTCATTATGGTGTTGAGCGTACTCTCCAACGCATTGCGAAAAGGTATCACTTCATAGTCCTTAATCAATCAATTATACATATAACGTGTTCAACGTTTCCTTCTTTTACAAAAAAGTGAGTCTGTTACCCACATTGACGAGATATCAAAACAATCGTATTCAGTTGAAGCATCTTCCTAGACATTGGCACATATTTTTTAACTGTCTCTTCGCTGGAATAGCGAAAAAGTATTCTCCAGAGATTACAGATGATAGTTTTATTCCAGCGCTTCTTTAAAGGTTCAGGTTCCAGAGATTTGAGACCTGTAATCTCTATGGAGAGTCAGCGACGTAGTTTCCTCTTGATTCGACATTTCCTTCAATCCAATTCAGAGTGAAAGTGTTATTCCGAGAGACTCTGCTAGAAATTAGTAGCCTTTTAATACTAGTATTGATGTGAATTGTGATTTCTTCTGGAATAACTAGCAGTGCTTGTCAACTAGCAGTATGGATATTTTTTGAGCTGCTTTGAGCTGCTAAGGTTATGTCGTGTGAATTCGTTTCGAAGTATACTGGCTAAATTTTCCTGGGGCTATTCGATATTCAGGTTCAGAGATGGTGGGTAAACTCCACACTCCGAGCCTTTTGATCTATGGGTGTAGATATCGCCAACATCATGTTTGGATCTGCCCCATTTTTGTGGATGATTATTTTTTGGGGTTTGTTGAAAACGAAAAATAAAAAGTATAATGATAATGAAAACAACTGTTCGTTTATTTCGAAAATCTATAAATACTACTGTTTCCAGTACCATCAGAACATTTCATTAGCAAATCATTGAAACTACTTAATATTTTTAATGACTTCATTTAGATACGAATAATACAAAGTGTTGAAGGAATACAAACTCAAAAAAAATACCTCAAGAAGACAAAACTTCAATTACAAATTCCATAGGAAATATTCTCACTTTTAATTTTTTTTAGTATAAATATTTTGTATAAATACTTTGAGTTTCAACCAGTCTTTATTGTCAAACACTCCTGGGTATTTAGTTCTCATTGCCTCACATTCGGTTTTTATTGGTGGAATTTTTTTTCTGATATGATCATGGAAATATTCTGAGGCAATTTTTTTTTGATCCTCAGTCCACTTTACTAAAATTCTTTTCTTTTGTCTTTTGGTATCTGAGATCTTGAAATTATCGATTCCCTCTGCTTTATTATGTAAAAATAGTTCATTTTCCAGTATAACTTCCTCATCTGATTTCTCTTCATCAGTGTCCCCATTCTTTGTGATATCGAGAAGATGTTCATCAAAATTGATTTCAATTTCATCAAGCGTTTTTCCCTTATATTGTTTTAAATTTCCACTTTCGAGCAACAAAAGGAGCTTAGAAATTTTTGCAGTTTGATAAACATCATCTGGAAGTCTGTATGAGTTTTTATGAACACCGATGGTGTGTCCCATAAAGGCAGCTAGTTGATCTATTTCCGTTTCCTTCATTGAAAACAGCTGTGATAGTGTTGCCAAATGCTTCCGCAGCTTAGTACAAGTTATAGATGATGGGTTCTTTGCTCCACATACCCGTGCATGATATTGCAACACTTTGTACCCACTAATAGGTGTGTCGACTCCGGGTTTTCCAAACAGATATGGGTTTTTGTCATCAACTAAATGTTTTCTCAGTGACAACAAAATTTTAATATGTTCCTGAACATCTGTGCTGATCAGAACGGCAACACCTCTTCCTCGCTTGCCTCTAATAACAACTCTTTTGAATGTTTTCAGAAGAATTTTTTCTGTCGGAGATATTATGGGGTCAAATTCTTCATAATTATCGCTACTTTTGGAGTCGGAAATCAAATAAGTTTGAACTGAAAGCCTCTGCAGTTCTCCCGGTCTCTTTCTATTGAGAAGAATGATTCTGCAGTAGATTGTTTCCAGTAATAACCCGAAAGCTTCTTTGTCATTTGGATCGGTTTTCAATATGTTAATGGCTGTATTAGCTTTTTCAATCAGATATTTTTTAATACTATCAAATCTTCAGCCAGTGGAACTATTGTAACCTTATTCCACTTTTTCATATTTAGATCGCTTCCTGCCTGGTTGGATATTTCAAATTTCCAACTCGCGTTGAAAAGATGTATCATATTTTTTAAGTTCACTTCAGTTTCTGCCTTTTGCACTGAAGATTCTTCATTCTCCAAGTTAAATCTGATTGCTATATCACAGCATTGTTTCAACGATGTACCAATATTTCGAGCATAAGTAGGAGCACCGTAGGAATCTTTGATATCGTCATACTTTGCTACTGTTTTTGTTGATTCACAAATGAGGTCAAAGTATTTTGGTTGGAGAGCTTCAAGAAGACTAGTTATCATTGGTTCTTTTTCCTTCAATACAAGAAGTAGTCTAGATATCTCCCTCATCTTCCTGGAAGTAACATTAATAAAATGCTTTTCTCTATGAATTTTTAAATACTGTGCACCAAACGCGTATATCAGGGGATCACTTTTTGCTACTTAACTGATCTTATCTGCTAACATTCGGGGAAAAACCAAGTTTTTCAACTGTAGATTGATATTTTTGTTGGTGTTGTAAACCATAATATTCTGACCGTCTGCTTGTGCTCTTCCCTTAGAGCCATCTATACACTTTTTTCTATGTCTGTACAACAATTTTGATGAAAAAAAACCCGAGACAATTAGAACAAGGTAAACTATTATTATCTTTGGACAAGGATGTTCTAACTGGTTTGAAACATCCACTCATATTACGTACATAATTACCTTTTCGTCTCAATTTACTGATGAGATCTTTTCTTTCACGAGTATTCGGAGGAATCGACATAATTCTTGTAACTTCAATTTCGTGTGAATGACATCTCTGAATGTGTCGAGCAAAATTGAGCACCTCGTCTTCACAGTAGAAACAATGATCCCGTTTCCTGTTCTTTGTTCTTGATGTAGCAGGTTTTTCACTTTCAGTGGATCTCTCATCATTATACAGACTAGTATGGATATTTCTTTTAGTAGAAATCATATTCATATCTTGACTTCCCAAACTTACATGTTTGGTAATAGACGGCCGAGTTACTACTAGATTTTCAGAAATTATGTCACAGACAGAGGAACATGTTTTTGCTATTTCATCTCGTGAATCTAAGTTTTTGGAACCAGATATTCCTTCATCACGTGAATTATTTTTCAGATGTTCAGACAAATTTGCTAATTTTTTGTTCCGTTTCTTCGAACTGAATGAACAATTGTATGAGCTATTCTTCGATGATACGGATGAGAGTGAAGCATTTTGCATCCCTGAAGTTGATGAACTATTCAGTGAGTTATTTTTTGAAGAACTTGATGATTCCGATAACAGCGATCGAAAACTTTTCTTTTTTGTTAGCTGAAAATAAATTAATTATCAAATTATGCTTTTTTGAGACATGTATGAGGAACATGTCAATCCTTCTTAAAAATGTTGTCCTCAGTTCGAGTGTCCTCAAATCATAATAAAACGATATCGATTAAACAATATCAGTTATGAATATTTTAACATTATTTCTAATTGAATCAAAAAGGACTTATTTATTTTGGAACATTTAAATTTGTGTTTACCTCTTGATACGGTGAATACGTTGGATCCGCATCAGAGTCGTCAAAAGGAGAATAATTCTGAAAAAAAAAATTGTGTTTTTGTTCATCAACACGTAATAGGGAAATTACCTCTTTGTCATTCAGAAGCGCTTCGCAATATTTTGACAGCCCGGGCTCCGGAATCTGAAATAATCAACTCACTGAAATAATTCAATACTATTATTATCCTGAAACTCATATTACCACATCACATTCATGCGTCAATTCAATAATTTCCGTGTCTTTTTTATATGTTATGGAAGCTAGTGAATCAACCTGAAACAATGTTTCTCGTTATTTTTTACTGTAGATTTTGATGACCTTAGCCTTAGCAAAATCTGTACAGATGTGGAAGTAATGGAATTTATACGAGGGTAGATGAGCAGATATCTGAATCTAACAAAAATTGGTTTGTTGGTTCGAACTACTATTGCCTTAATTGCTCAAGTTTGTTGAAACCGACAACAAATGAAAATCTAACCAAAAATCGATGTAAGCGATTCTGATGCGGAAATTTTAGTTGGTCAAAGAAAAATTGGTGTGGATTGAATGAGTTGAAAAAAAATCAGCTAAGAAAATTAACAATCAGAAACTGAAATATCAGAACTCAATAAAACTAGAAAAAGCTCGTATATTTGTCTTACTATTGAGTTTCACGGTTTCCACACTGGGTTGGCAGAAATTGTTGTTTTACAGGATGAAGGCCCCTTCTTTGAACCAACAACCCTATTTATGGATAACCTCAGTGTTCACAAAGTTCATTGAATATAAATTAAATGATATATTTTGACGTTCTAAAACCTNCGATTTGGCGGTTTATCTCCGTTGTATCCAAGAAGAGGAGCATTGGTTATAGGGAAAATTCAAGGAAGTGGCTTTCTTCAAGCTTAATAACAATGTAGATAGACACTTGTCTATCTGGCTTCCACCAATGGGAAGAATCTCGGCATCCCCCACTCTCTGTCTCCTCCAGGAGAAAATTGGGCTACATAGAATCAGCAATCTCGGAAATTTGTCATTCATTACCTGTGAAGACGATTGCGGATGCAAGCAATTAAAATGTCGTTCGTACACTAAATCTTTCAACTTTCTAGTTTTATTAATTTCTGATATTTCAAAATTTGTTTGTTAAATTTCATTAAATGAATAGAACTGGCCCATACTAATTAACACAGTTCATTGTATGATCTTCACTGTGAAAGGTTTCACAAAAACCGTATAAACTATGCTTGAGAAAGCTATTGTATAGCGAAATACGTGTCGCGGTTTTTGTAAAACCCTCCATAGTAAATATCATTCAATAAACTGTAATAATTAGTTGTATTTTTTTAAAATTTTATTACTGAAATTATTTCAATTCATTTTATCGACTCAAATTTTCTTAGAATGACTCACACTTGAGTAATTCAAACCACATGAATAAATTGTTGAATAGATTTTTTCATTTATTGCAGGATTCTAGAGTTAAGGAATTGAGTCATTGAAAGTTCCAACCAAACAACTCAACAGGAATCTTTGTCAACCACATCGGAACTAACAAACAAGTCAACGAGAAATGTTTCTTTCGAATAAGACAACTCCAGATTGATCAACAACTTATCATATTTGTGAAATGTGCTTATCGAATACTTTCCTTGTCATGTTTTGGAAAAGCAAATCAGTTACAGAGTTCAAAACTACTATACTACCAAAAGTATACCGCATTGCTGACTAATTTTCATTTTCTTTATTCAGAAGGAATAGTTTACATAGGAGCATCATTTTGATAACTTCATAATCTCTAGATTGAGGCAGATTATCAAAAAAATAATTCACAGGGGAAAGAAATTTGGACTTACCTCACAATCTGAAAATTCCAGATTGGGTGGTGGACTTGATGTATCAGATTTAGACTGAAACCCAAATTGGATAATTCTACAATATGATAGAAGACGAATACTGATTACCTGATATTCTTCATTTTCATTTATGTTTGACTGAACTTGGAAATTTTCTCTAATTGGATAATAAGAGGGTAAGGGAATCTGTAAAGGTCAATAATTTATGGACGTGTTCAATTCTCTTTCTCACTTCTCTCACAAATATCTCACTCTAGAGAAAATTATTATACTACTCTGCAAGTAGAATTTCAAAATGAACTGAAATGTGTAAATNATATCTCACTCTAGAGAAAATTATTATACTACTCTGCAAGTAGAATTTCAAAATGAACTGAAATGTGTAAATTTGAATTTAAAGAAAATTGACACCTCATGTGTTTATCTTTTTATCAGAGATTGTCCCTATAGGCAGTAAACTTGAGTTATGTGACAATCTGAATTTTTTGTATAGTTATTTCAGCAAAATAACATGGAAACCTCGTGTTCACAAAGTTCATTGAATATAAATTGAATGATATATTTTGACGTTCTAAAACCTTAATATATCCTAATGAGAACATTGACACTAATGTCTAAATAATTAACGATTTTCTTCCCCTTCTCGGACAAATGCCTAGCATTATAATGATNATGAATTTTCCTTCACTTCTTAATGAAATTTTGGGTCTCATTTTATTGACTGACACAAAATCAAGTTTCTACCAATATCTAGTGGCTTGTAGAAGCACCCCCATACCCCCATTTTATGCGCTGATAATATAGACACATTTCTCTTTATTTCTGAATTCTTTGTATAGTTATTTCAGCAGAATAATATGGAAACCTCTGGTTCACAAAGTTCATTGAATATAAATTAAATGATATATTTTGACGTTCTAAAACCTCAATATATCCTAATGAGAACATTGACACTAATGTCTAAATTAAAACTAGAAAAAGCTCGTTTATTTGTCTTACTATTGAGTTTCACGGTTTCCACACTGGGTTGGCTGAAATTGTTGTTTTACAGGATGAAGGCCCCTTCTTTGAACCAACAACCCTATTTATGGATAACCTCAGTAATCGATTACCTGATATTATGCTGGTTTGTCCAGGCATGCTCTGCTGAACCCGATTTGGCGGTTTATCTTTATTGTATCCATGAAGAGAGGAGCATTGGTTATAGGTAAAGTTCAAGGAAGTGGCTTTCTTCAAGCTGAATAACAATGTAGATAAACACTTGTCTATCCGGCTTCCACAAATGGGAAGAATCTTGGCATCCCCCACTCTCTGTCTCCTCCGGGAGAAAATTGGGCTACATAGAATTAGTAATCTCGGAAATTTGTCATTCTTTACCTGTGAAGACGATTGCGGATGCAAGCAATTTAAATGTCGTTAGTACACCAAATCTTTCAACTTTCTAGTTTTATTAATTTCTGATATTTCAAATTTTGTTTGTTAAATTTCATTAAATGAATAGAACTGGTCCATACTAATTGATACAGTTCATTGTATGATCTTCACTGTAAAAGGTATCACAAAAACCGTATAAACTATGCTTGAGAAAGCTATTGTATAGCGAAATACGTGTCGCGGTTTTTGTAAAACCCTTCATAGTAAATATCATTCATAATATTATTTCAATCTATTTCATCGACTCAAATTTTCTTTGAATGACTCACACTTAAGGAATTAACCAAACAACTCAACAGGAATCTTTGTCAACCACATTGGAACTACCAAACAAGTTATTTCAGCAAAATAACATGGAAACCTCGTGTTCACAAAGTTCATTGAATATAAATTAAATGATATATTTTGACGTTCTAAAACCTCAATATATCCTAATGAGAACATTGACACTAATGTCTAAATTAACGATTTTCTTCCCCTTCTCGGACAAATGCCTAGCATTATAATGATAATGAATGGAACAAGTAAAAAATTATACTAGAAACCAATATTTAATTAGCATTAAGTAGTAGTTATCACACCACTGTCCTTATAAATCTAGAAACTTGAATTTGTATTCGAAAAATAATGTATGGTAGAGTGGCACCCGGAGTTTCAATGAGAAAAGAAAGCAATAACTCATAATTTCTGGACAAAAAATCAATATCCATCATTCATTTTCAACTACTCAGATTGGAGAGACTAGGTGTGATGCTCTGTATAGTCGGATATTATAATTTACCTTCTCTTCATCATATTTGGCTGAAGAAATAATGACATCGCTTATAATATTTATTTTTTTCACTGGAGTCAGTGCCACACTACACATTTTATTGATGAATATGTTTTGATGTTGATCCTACAAATAAGATTCAGTTTATGTAAGATGAATTAGAGCAGTTATATTTACCTGAGTCGGAACAAATGACATAATCCTGTCTGTTCTCTTGGAATACATTTCTGGAATAACAGATTGAAATAGAAATAGTAGAATTATCGCGATGAATAGAAATTCGAATTTTATACTTCCTTCCCCCTTTAACTTCTCAACAGGATAAACAATCAAGATCAAAGAGAGTTCATTTCAATATCAAGAAAGCATAGACTATATTAAAAAATAGTGAGATTTTCACTAACCGCTTACAAAACAGCGACACGTGTTTCATTATGCACCATGTATTCTTAATACACTAACATATTTTTCATTTTGAATATTGAATATTTTTATATTTTGAGAAAACTTCAATTTGTGACGTACCTAAACAAAAAACTGTTGTGTGACTATTGTAACATATGTAAAAATATTTGAAGGTGAATAAATTTCTTATCTTATCTAGAACGATGATCTAAATACAAGTGTGGGTTAGAAAGCAATGTTCCAACTACTGCTTGAGATAAGTACAATATATTGTTACACGAAAAAAATATTCTCATAAATTGGAAACGATTCAGTTGTTTACTGAACGCAGGATCATACTGAAGTATGATTCTGTGTGTCATAAACCGAAATGGTACTGAAAGTGTATCCCTATGTTATCCACATCAATTAACTATAACTTAGATGCTTTTTTGGTGTTAACGGCATTGGCTAGTATGGTCATCAGCCTCATGTTCTCCCTGAGCCATCTAGAGAGCATCACAGTTATTCAATTGTATCGTAGCAGAAGTAGCAGAATCAATTCACCTCCAGTGAGATAACTTTCCATTAGGTATAGACAGTCGATTGAATGGATATACATTTGTATGTACTAACACCCACTTAAGTTATATTGAAAAAATATTATAGGATTCTCAATATATGTGGGAAATATCCAAAAAATGCCATCCCGTTCTTTCATTCCAAGTACCTTAGTGCTCAGATTATTTATTTTTCATAAAATCTGAAAAGGCAATATTATGTTATGTGCGTTAAAACAATTTTTTCAAATCAGTCCATAGATATTTTTTCGAGTCGTTCGTTAGATTATGAATGAGTTGATATATCATAAAGTTTCACTCGAACAGGTTTCGTTTATTCCAAACCCTCTTCAAAGAATGCTATACAGTATGGTCCTATTACTTTTTATTATCATTTTCATTACCTGAGAGTTTGGATTAGGTTTGAACGGTAACTATCTGCAATTCCCAGCATACGACTATTAACTCACAAAAGTACAAATTTTGAAGATCTGAAGATTAACGAACTCTAATCTCTCAACGTGTCATTCTTAGACACGACCCAAGATATTGTTCATCACCGCCGTTTTAATCATAGTTGGTGTAATACAATTGAAGAGCTCAATCTTTCACTTCTCGACTTGAGACAATCTTTCCGTATCTCCATAAACAGTAAACTGATGAAAATGATATGGTGATCGAAGAGGCCAAGGTACTGGTCCATTTGTAGCAATTTACTTCCTGGAAAATATTTCGCTGAAATGATTAACACTTATTTAATACACAGTGTAGACGAAATGAGTTTCCTTT